TTATGTCCTGAACGATTTCGCTGCGTCTAAACTGGTGCCTACTACAAACAAATACAATGTTTATATATGGTTCGGGAATGAATTACAATATAAACACTTGTAAATGGGGGGAAGCGTCACCAAGACAAAGCCAAGGTGATGAACAAGTCCTTTTGTTGACACAGAACTGGTTGATTGTAATCGCATCGGTGATCTTCAGTATTTTGGTGTTATCATGTGTTATCCAATGTGAGTGCGTAGACACTTACATAGGCAGAACAGAAATGCAATTGCGCGGTTGGGTTTTAGAGCACATTCCGAACTGGTTTCAACGCAAGGCTGCCATGGCAAAGTGCACATATCCGGTAACTGATAAGGTCCGTGCATACGAACCGCCAAGCTCATCGATAGCCAACCACTGGATGATGACTCAACGGCTCATGGATCGTGAGAAAGCATTTCGATTGACTTTTACTAATGATAACACCAGAATGCAAAAGATCATCGAGGCAATTGCAATCAACCGATGGAAACCAATTCTGACATCAACTTGGCTTTGTCTTGGTAACGCTTCCCCCCATTTACAAGTGTTTATATTGTAATTCATTCCCGAACCATATATAAACATTGTATTTGTCTGTGGTAGGCACCAGTTGAGATGCAGCGAAATCGTCCACAACGTAAATCGTATAATGTTTCCATACTGGCTTCTCTTTTCAAATTTATCACGGTAAAAGCTTGTGAAGAGTTTGTTTCTCTGAGATATGTTAGTTTCTATTTAATTGGATCCCGGTGAAAAGAGCTAATGGTAAGTTAAGGTTTGGCCTTTTTGTAACAGTGTCACAAAACACTTGATTGGATCAAGTAGCGATTTAATTTATTTTAGCATCGTAGCTTTCTGTCCAAGAGCTACAATGTAGGGGTATCCGTGAATCCGCGTGTGATTGACAACAACGATGTTATTTTTCTAACAATGACTCACGGATTCGGGAGAGATGGCTCTGGGTTTGGTCCATGTGTACATGATCGGTAACGGTATGGCTAATAGTTTTCCAATTGGACTAAAGTGAACTGTCCATTGCAGATAAATTTTTAACCGGGTTATCTAACTGAAGTGGAAAGGAGACAAAACTTCTTTTCGACGTATCGCCTCAGGCATTTGCTTTTCCACTTTGATTAACCAGTAAATGTCTGGGGCTGGGGTTTGATGAGGGTGGGTATGCGAAGTGCTCGGTTGTCAACAAGTTACGAGGTGATAAGAAGTGGATAGGGAAACGCGGATGGAGAACTATGTGAGGTGCATACGAAAAGAAAGGGGTCAATCGATAATGCATTGAACAGGCCAAAAAGCGTGAACAGCGAGTCAGTAATTGAGAGGGCTCGAAACTGGGAAAGATCTTTACAGGGACAGTTACTTTTATGGCATTGGAAAAGCAGTACTTGAACCACTTTACGTTACCTATGCAACTCTGGTTTCGTACTCAATTGTCAGGGTCTGATTACTTGCTGGGGTGCAGTGAGGAAACGTATGAACGGTGTCACTGGATCAATACATTGTCTACCCTCAAGCGGGTATTGTATTCCTCGTCTGGTCACGTTTATCGCTGGCAGTTTTTGAATAGCATTTGGTTAAGGTGCTATCGTTCCCTTGAACAAAGGCCTAGTTTTGTGTCTGATATAACGAGTACTAGAATTGTACGGAAGCTGGTGTAGAATAACAACTGATCGGCACTGGTGACGCAATTCAGTCCTAAGATGCTTCTCGCTTCACTCTTTGTTCTTTTGAATCGATGGAGATGTTTTACGCGGTGTCCTTAAATGTTCAGTCGAGTCAACTCAGTAGTAGCTTTATACACATGGATGGGCGAGTTTTCAGCATTTTATACCATATTTGTCGGTGCAAATTTACAAATTCCCACAAAATGAAAGTGAAATTAGTAGGGTAGTGATGGAGCAGTGGTTTAGTTGCTGTCACAGGCGTGCCTTTGACCCCATGGTCCGAGGTTCTAGCCACCGCCACTCGATTTTGGTGGTAGGCAGCTTTGCTTTCGTCCAGTTCAATATCATGCCTAAACCTATCGAGGCCTTATGTCGTTCACCACTCCAAGTCCCGGGGCTTACGTTACCGGTTTCCATCACTGAACAGCAGGTCCTAGTGACTATGGGGTTTATCGCTTCTGCTGTTCATCACACGAAAGTGTGTACTGAAAAAACATCGTCTCTGTCCATGAAGCAATTACATAATTCGGTAGAAACTTCTTCCTTGTCAACAGGAATTTTATTAACAACTTATTTTAATGCGCAATAATGGTGAGGGTGACTTATTGAAAAGAATTCATGGCTTTATTTTTCTTTCCAAAGAAATAGTCTTTTTGATCAAATATTCTTCAAACATTCAACAGTCCCACTCTGAGGATTGATCTGAAGAGCCGACCGTACAATACCAACTCGACTCATTTACTATTTGAACAGGCTATTCAAAAGACAAACACTGCGAGAGGAATTCCTTTCGTATGTTCTCATCGGGCGCGTAATTATAACATTGAACAAGATAGGCAAGTGCAGTGTGTAAGAAAATTTGTTTCGGTTTATTCGTGTGTGCGTGCGTGTGCGTGTGCTTGTGTTCCGTGTGTGTGATGCACATAATTGGTTACAACTAGGGAAGGCTGAGGGTAAAGGTCATACGCTTTTCAATGTTATACGTACGCGACCGAGGAGAGCATCTGAAAGAAATTCCTCTCGTAGTGCTTGTCTTCTGACTTGCCTGTTCAAATTCGTTACGGAAACTAAATCATCCATTTACCTTATGTTGCTTGAGTTGAATGGAAGTATTTTTGAAGAATTCCAACGTGTATCACCTAATCCCCGATCCCCGATCCCCGATCAAATAATCGGAATCTCATCCTCGTACGCACACTCTTGTACTCGTTGTCGCCCTTACTCCATCTCCCACAATTCGCCTCCGGGATTGCTCCGTCTTGTTTCGCTCATTTTTCCTGTGCATCTTGAAGCTATTTAAATCTGCTCTCTCTCATTCAAAACATCGGAAATTCGAGACGTTAGTGCACAAAGTCGTGTTTCGTTGAGAACTCTGATCCAGAGTTTTTCTCGCATGAAACACGTGCACTGATTTTTCGTTTATTCTCACACAGTCCGGAAGAAAATTGTCTGATTTTACAATCAATACTATTCCCAGGGAAAAGATGATGATCGTTCGGGACGGGCAAGAGAATGCACGATTTCTCATTTCATGGACATGTATTGTCCTAAGAGAAAGCGAGATAACACGACGGGAGTGGATTACATGTGAGGGATTCCACTTCATGTATTTATCTGAAACAGAATAGCCCTTTATACAGAAATAATGCGATATTATTTTCATCCCTTTACTATACGGAATTGCAGAGCCTATTATAAGATGAAAAACTGCCCCATCCTGAATAATATATTGGAACTTCTGAGTCAACATACTCCCATGAAAGTACAACAATAACAACAACAACTACTACTACTACTACAACTACTGCTACTACTACTACTACTACTATTACTGCTACTCTAGGTGCGTAGTTAATATTTTTCAAAAATGTTAAAAGATCTGA